GTATGTGAATTATCATCCTGGTTCGGTTATATGAAATCTCGATGTTTTTATATTACAGATAAAAACGTGTATCAATAGAAATAGCTAGCCTACACTGAAAAAATTAGTCGTTAGTTATTTCCAAACGTTTAGTAAGATAGGCGTCAGTCACAACATTTATTTAATATTACCACTACAACATTATATAATACTATACTATATCAAATATTACCACTACAAAAACTGGTTGAGAATATCCATATGGATGTCAAGACAAAATGTGTTCGCGTTCCAAATCTGAATCATATGACCAAAAAATATGTGGGTTCATCCATTAGAAAAACTCGAGAAGAATCACTTCAGAAAGTTCCGAATTGACAAATATTTACAACCACCGCGTTTGATATGAGGGCATGAAATTCTTCAGATATATCACGCATCTTTCTATCAGATGACATTATGAATTTACATCACAAAATTACCTGGGGAATAGACAACATCAATGAAAACTCGTTTCTCTATAGAACGGGGAAGCTCTGGAATCCATTGTCTGAGGAAGTATTTTGAAGAACTTATAATCTTCAAAAGTTCAAAACAAATTCCAACACATACCTCCTTCGTTCTATCTTCCCTAGGTACGAACGATGTTCGAACATTGATGGGATTCCTGTTCGTGCACACCAAGCGATGAAAAAAAACAGAAACAGAATCGTTTCCTAATCTACCAAATAAGATGAGTGAATTTATTTTTCTGTTCACCTATATTCCTCTTCTTCAAACTCACTATCTCTCGAATTTCTCTGCCTTATAGTAGTGAAATTTTTGAACGCAATGGTATATCCGCTGATATCAGCATATATAGTCTATAATATGAGTATGGTATTTCCATCCTATAAAAGTGATACATGGAGAATCTACGTTGTACTCGTTTTTTGATTCGGACAAGAGCATTAGGGCATTAAATCACTGAAGCATGTTAAAGATGAGACCTTACTTATGAAGAAAACTAAATCTTCATTTATTTTATGTGAACAAAATCTCTTGGATGTCTCTTTATAAATCCTTAATCGATGTATCATTGTCAATTTCGGTGTTGTCAACAGCGTTTTTGCAGGTCACTTTGAGGAGGGGGTCACAAAGTGATCTGAAAATATCAATTATATATCAGATTAGTAGCATTTTTATATGCAGTCAAACTTATCCGCCGTCTGAATGAATGTTTAGTTTCTGAAAACCTTTTTGCTAAGTTTTGGCGAATACGCTTCCAAAAATATAATCTTCTCTCTATTAAAGGTACGTAGATGAGAGGGAATATACTCACATTCATCAAAAGTTTTGTTCTTATCGGTTTTATTTCAATGATTTTCGACATTTGAATTCATTCAACTACAATTCTTGCTTTCGGCCATAAAAGTTCAAATCCAGTTCCTCCGCCATTTTTCGGTATTGTATGGCGAAGGTCCAGTTATCAGTTATATCCAAGTGGACGTGAAGTAGTAATAAAATATACCAGTCTATGAATTTTATATTTTGAATGGAAGATAGAATTTTTCGATCGTGTGAACAATAGTTCTTGGTACACTGCTGCCCAAATGAATCGTAACGACTCTTGAGTTATGTTATCACAAGATTTATTTGGGCAGCTGTGTACATACCCAATTTCAAAGGCACTGAACATTAATTTTTTCACGAGCGTCCGGGAAAGTAACTTCTCCGTACGATTTTCCGATTTAAAAGGTATAATTTTTCGTATATATACTATTCTGCAGAATTTTTACTTCTCCGCGCGATTTTATCCGGGGTAATACCACGAGAGCTCAGATCCAGCCTGATATTTTTTGTGGTTGTTTTCGAATACGTACTTTCATTGTCGATTTAACGAGCGCTATTCTGAAACAATCACGAGAGCGTACAGGGTGATTCACCATAAATGTCCCCCCCTCTAACTCACTCATTTTTGAACCGATTTAAAAATTTGAAAAATAATCTGGAATGATTTTTCAGATTTTTTTTTCCGTTGCTTCAGAAAATACAGGGTGCTCGGAACAAACGATCTACAGAGTACTACTTGATTTTTTCAAATGGAACACCCTGTATTTCATTGTATTTTTAGATTCTTCCTGAAGAGATGATTTCATCAATACATCACACTTGGGGTATAGCGGGAATGTTTACAGAGATATAGGGTGTTCAGAATCGAGATTTTTCAAACTTTAGGATTTTTTTCTGTCGAAACTATTCATCATTGGTCAAAACGGTTTTCATGTCCCTATCTCAACTTTTGATTTACTATCTAGTGACATTTAATTGGAACATTTACAGGGTGGTTCAAGATTCAGAATTCTGATCACCCTGTATCTGTTCCAATTATTAAATGTTAGTAGATAATGAATCAAAAGTTGTCGTATGGACATGGAAGCCGTTTCGACCGATAATGAATAGTTTCGTCACAAAAAAATCCTGAAGTTGAAAAATCTCAATTTTGAACACCCTATATCTCTGTAATCATTCCCGCTTGACCCCGAGTGTGATACATACATCAAATCAGCTCTTCATAGAGAATCTAAAAATACAATGAAAATTAGGGTGTTCCATTTGAAAAAATCAAATATAACCCTGTAGATCGTTTGTTCCGAGCACCCTGTATCTTCTAGTGTAACAAAACAAAACTTTATCGAAAATCATTTGAGATAATATTTCAAATTTTGAAATCGGTTCAGAAATAACTGAACCAGAGGGGGGGACATTTATGGTGAATCACCCTGTACATTGTTTTCACCACGTAGGTATTCTTCATAATCTACCCCATTCTGTTTCTTCACTTCAATGAAGCCCAAGTTCATCAATATTCCAGCCACATATCTCACTGACTGTTCGGTTTTCAAGTTCAGTTGTATACAGAATTTGCTAAATTGGTTCCAAATGGAGGAATTACTACTTTTTGTATTATCTGGAGTTGATTTTTCAATTTCCTTTACTATTTCTTTCTCGCAAATATTTCCAAACCTCCACATACTTATTGGACTATCATTTGCTGTTAATTTCTATTTTTGACATTCACATTTTCGAAATGATGCGACGCGCAACACTTGACAAAACGAACAGTGAATGCTAGCGTTGCTATATGGTAACGTAATTTATCCAATTTATTATAAACTTGCATTTCTGTTCCTTCGATTAAATCGTGCGAGGAAGATAATTTACCGAACCAGTACTGTAAAGTTACTTTTCCACTCAATATGTAAATATTTTAAAATCTTGTTCATTAAGAATCGTTTCTTGTCAAATGCAATCGCGTGCGAGAAAGTACTACTTTCCGCACTTTTTTTTTATCGCTTGGAGCGCACGAGAGGGAATCCCTATAATGTTCAAATCCCCAATTACCATCAGTGAAGCCAGATTGACCATTCAAATTTTGGAATGAATATTAAGAATATCAGAATCAGAACACTGTTGTGTTTACAATATATCAATAGAATGTCGAATTCGTTACCTTCCCAAAGATATTTGGTGATTGAGATAATGATATTCATCTTCCTGATTTTTGTCGATTAAAATCATGTTTTTCAATGGAATATCATTAGTTCATCCAAATTGTTGATATAGATTGCATTATTGCTACAAAAATTGGTTTCCTTCTTTGCTGGAATCTGATAGAAATGAAAAATACAATACGAATTTAAATATCCATTCTTTATTAATAAATTCACAATGATTTCGACTTGTGTTCAAGTACGTATATTATTTCAAATAATTGAAGAAATGAAATGGCATCAGTATTTACAGATGGTATGGACTATTTACAGAAATAAAACGCTAATTTACAATACAGCAATAAATTAATAAATCGAATAGTGCTAGAATAAATAAGATAATATATTACAGTTTGAGATACTACGCTGATATATCTATATACAAATTCAATAAATAAATATAGAGAAATCAATACATCAACATCAACACTGTTGTCACTATATCATCAACTAACATTGATTGGTTAAAGTACACAGTATGAATCAAATGAATACCAGTAAATAGAATATTGTTTATTAATACCTGGTTAAAATTACATATCACTGGTTTTGTATGTTTTCCCAAAACTGAATATACACTCATCTATTTACAGCTGCCTTACAACTACAATGTCAAATTCGATCTCAGTCTTTACAGATTTTTTAAGTGGAAGTTATAATACTGATTGGAAACATTCAATTAATACTTTTGGCACTATCTTACATAACATTTTAGTACGTCAACTACTCAATAGCTATTCGAAGTATCAACTAAATTAACTCTCTTGAACCAGAATAAAAGGATGATTCAGCAGTAGGTACCCACTTTTAGACATAATTATTCTATAACCATAATAAACTGAGGAATACAATGACCACTTATATTACTATTGTGTAGATACGACATCTTTCAAATTAGTCTAGCGAAGACATAAAAAGGTTTTTATGACTCTGAGGCAAAACAGGAAAATTATTGCTATGTAAAGGTATGACAATAAAAAGAAGATTCCTATTGTATGACAGGCTGATTCGGGATTGATGAAACCAAAATATACCCAAACTGATCTTTAGAAGTTTCGCTGAATACTTTACAAATCGAAACGATTCGTCGATTCCAGTATATTTTTCCTTGACTTTGTCTTCACAATGAGAATACGCAAATGGACAATTTTTTTTATTTCTTAAATGAATCATCACTCGAATACCTGTCAATTCCATATTTTGGATTTTTTCGGTTGATTTCAAGGTGATGAAATCATCAATAATGCCACGGTAATTTTAAAACGGCTAGGAATTTAACGCAAATTGAATCAGACGTCACATTTTGTAAGTAGGGGCAGACCATAGGACAGTTGCCATAAATTTCAGAAAACATCTGAACCTGAAATGAGCTCTGAAATTCAACATAATCTCATTATTTTAATGAAAAAAGTGTGAGAAGTGTTGCAAAAATCAATTTAGGCCCTTGAGTAATTGACTTCCACTAATTCATAATCAGTCCACTCCCCAATTCCAAATGATCAGCCTCAACAGTTTATCTGATTTGAAGAAGGAAATAAAAATCTCCAACTCATGATCCAAAAAAGTGAGTACATACCTCACAATGTACGTTGAGACAGCAAATAACTCCTCCATTCTGGTTCAAGCAAATCGTGCTCAGACACAAGTATGAATCGTTTTTTTCGTTCTACAAACGTCGCACTTAACCTCACAGCACCAATGAAAAGTACAGTTACACCTCTCGACAACGACAATCTCCTGAGTGCGATACCCCCTGCCGCAGCACATGATGTCGCAGCCCTCCACCCCCATGGAGGTATCGTTGCAGAGCCTCCCGTGAGTGCCTTGGATACCCAGCTTCGGGTTCCTCTCGCAGAACCCGGGCGACATCTCGTAGTAGACCAGGTCTTTGAGTCCAGGCGGCTTGTGCTCGGGATTGAACGGCTTCAGCTGGAACCCGTACTTGTGCTGCCTGCGCCGGTTCTCGCGCTTGGCGTGGATGCTGTTGGACATGATGGAGTTCATCTTGGGGTGCTTGGGCACTCTGTTGGTGTGCGCCTTGTTGTTCCTGCTGTGGCCGCCGTTGGCTGCGGTGATGTGGGAGGCGCCGTCGAAGCGGTCTTTCAGGTAGTCGCCGATCACTCTGAAGGGTGGCAGGCGCATCCAGCAGGTCCTGACGGTGCAGGAGCCGGACATGCCGTGGCATTTGCATTCCTGTCTCATTTGAGACTGGACGTGCTGAAAAAAACAGAGATGGATATTATTCAGCGAATTTGTTTCTGCGGTGTTAATTTCTTAAGGATCAGAGATGAACTATCCTCAATGGACGTACAATAGGTACAATAATTTGTTTTTGGAGACAAATTATAGATATTTATGTACCAAGTGCGTTCGTTATATAGATTCTTACGCCTATAACGCATCCACCTGAGATTTTATTTTTCACGAAAAAAATTATCTTATATTTTAATGGTAAATATATTTTTAAAAGCGGTTCATTGCTCCTTTACATTTTCTTCTCATAGTAGGCATGGATTCGTAGATATTTTGACGTTTGTTGAATATTGCTGTCATTATTCAATTCAGTGAATGTCATTGCTCTATATATACAGAGTGGGCCTTTGAAAACGAAACAGAGGCTCTGTAGGTCGCCAAAACCGGATTATGAAAAGAATCTGAAACACGTCAACTACGTTTTCGAGGGAGACATCGTCCTACAATATTTTCAGCCCTGCGGCGTTGCCGCTGCTAACGAAAAGAAGGCACAACTTTGTTATTTCAAATGGAACACCTTGTATTTCATTGCATTTTTAGATTCTCCCCGAAGAGCTGATTTCATCAATGCATCACACTTGGGGTCTAGCTGTAATGGTTTCAGGGATATAAAGTGTTCAAAATCGAGATTTTTCAACTTTGACATTTTTTTGTGTCGAAACTATTCATTATTGGTCGAAACGGCTCTCATATCCCTATCTCAACTTGTGATTTACTATCTACTGACATTTAACTGGAACAGATACAGGGTGATCAGAATTCTGAATCTTGAACCACCCTGTATTTGTTTCAAATAAATGTCAGTAGATAGTAAATCAGAAGTTGAGATCGGGACATGTGAGCCGTTTTGTACAATAATGAATAGTTTCGACACAAAAAAATGTTAAAGTTGAAAAATCTCGATTTTGAACACTTTATATCCCTGAAACCATTACAGCTAGACCCTAAGTGTGATGCATTGATGAAATCAGCTCTTCGGGGAGAATCTAAATATGTAATAAAATACAAGGTGTTCCATTCGAAATAACAAAGTTGTTGCTTCTTTTCTTTAGAAGCGGCAAAGCCGCAGGGCTGAAAATATTTTAGAAAGATGTCTTCCTCGAAAATGTAGTTGACCTGTTTCAGTTTTTTTTGATAATCCGGTTTTGGCGACCTACAGAGCCTCTGTTTCGTTTCCAAAGGCCCACTCTGTATATATATATAATGGAAATGAATACGAATTCACCCAAGAATATCATAAAAATGCAGACAAGACTCCGGTTAAATTATTGCTAGAGAAATCCAGACTGTATATACGACAAGGATTATGAAGTAATTAATCAATGGGAGTTGAAAATGGTATATTATGTAACAAGTATTATAAACATCCTTTTAGTAACAAGGGCAGCAGAGTGGAGTGAGTGTTCAATAAACGAGTGTCTAGAAGAGTTTATGAAAGCGTTACATACTATACTTTTTCTACTCATAATTCCTCTCTTCGATTTAGATCAACCTACCCGCTATAACCTAAAAATTAATGCGATGGGAATGGGAGTCGGGAACATAATACTATATGTAACTGCATGCAACCAACGAGGCACATATATTGGTGATATTGGTTGTATATGAGTCCAGTCCATAGGATACATGAATTTCACTAACTTTTGTGAATACTAAGTTTTGATCATCCTCAAAATCATGAGTAAATTCTTTTGGCGAACCCGGAACAAAATGGCCAATATTTTGGTTTATTTGATTTGATACCTACCTTTAGATGGGAAAATGCAATCGGATATGCTGAGTTTTTACCTTATTTCTGCGTAAATATTGATCTGAAAGGCTTAAAAGTCACGTTTGCATTTCTTTCCGTAAGCAAACACTCGTGACGTTATAGGTTGAGTTTTTGAACGATTGTTCTATATTATTAATTGGTGAGTAGGTTTTCAAGCGCTGTTTTAATTAAACATATTCATATTATATACGATTGTGTATGTATATGTAATTTATTGATGGGATTAATCAACAGGATGCGTTTCTTCAAGTCAACCTTTTGTTTACTCCTTAATGTATCAGGTTTTTGAAACCGCGAGATTTAATTATTTTATTCCAAAGTCAGTATTTTTCTCGTTATTCCATTGAATTGACTTCCCATTGTCTTTCTCGCTGTCCTTCGTTCTTCGCCCTATATGACAGAACAACAACTTTCATCTTCTAATTCCACCCAACAGAGCAAAGGATCGCGCAGAGCATCTCGCATATTTACTTCACAAAACACGCTTTAAATCGCTTACCTTTAAGGCAAAAGCGAGGAAAAAGCCAAGCGGTATTTTGCCTTCGATATAGCCGCAATTTTCTGTGATTTCACGTACGGCTGCACGGCCGAGAAAGTCAGTGGCGTCAACGGGTAAGAGCATTGAATAATGAGAAGCTTCATACAGAACTGCTGGTCCTAAGGTGACGTAAGGAGTGAGTTATAAAGCCATGCTCCTCAGGATATTCAGATATCTATTGGATAAACAAACTTCAATAGTTATTTCCATACCTTCCATACATAATAGGTACTGTTGAGGGTCGAATTTCTAAACGTTCAAGCTATAAATTTACTAGATTTTTTCAAACACAGTATATTATATCAAAGAATGACACTCATGCCAATATGCTATTCACTGTCTTGTAACATATTTACCATATTGTTGGCACCGTTGTTGTCAAATAATATATGTCGGATTCTCATTGAAATAGTTAGGCGTATTGAAATTGCATTGTGATGAAATCACAGATGTAGAGCAGAATCAATAATTGTATCAATCAAAATCAAGATGACCAGTGGAATCGCATGACAACTTTATCAACACCAATCACTCGAAGCGAACAAGCTACTTTGATAAAAAGTGTATTCTCTTCTCTGCCTTCCGGTCGATGACTGCTCGACTCATCTGTTCGCCCGGCCACGTTCTGTTCAACTCAATATTCCTGTAAGTTCGTTCTTTTTTATTCGATGTACTAAACATGGTTGGCCTTCAATTCGGCCATAACATAAACATCAGTTTAGGTTAACTCATGAAATAGCAAGAGATTCAGGTCTTTCCTATTAAATCTTACAGTGCCGACTTGCACTTATTTCGTCTCAGAACGCCCAATAAACTACCCAGTACAAAGTGGAGATCGAAACAAACTCATAATCGACATCAGAAAAATCGTTTGAAATGTTTTCCATTTTGTACGATACAAGAAATAATACACCAGTCATCATGATCAGTGTTGAATTTCTAACTGTTTCTAGAATCTGGTGAGCTAAGACTTCCAGTCAAGAGTGTAGTGTAGAGGTTCCATTCCATGTTATCATGAAAAACATTTGCTTGAACTTTTTTGAATTTGACCGCCAAAATTGAGCGTTCTGTGTATGAACAAATAGCAAACATCATCGGAATATGGAACCTTGATCAACAGATTTTTTGTTTCTCAGCACGTTTGGAGAGCTGATGAAGAGAGAAATCTTTAAAAAGGTGAATATTCAGAACAAAATTTGACGAACACTGTCATTGCCACTTTTCTTTGAATACATATAAGAATCACGATTTCAATGTATTGACCCTGTTCAAATTCAGGCAACACTATAAAAACCAATTGTATTCATCTGGTTGGTACCAGTTTCATGAAGTCATAACATCTCATTGTAACAGTACATTGCAATATTTCCATCTGTGAATAATGATTGAATTATTCACTCTGTGTGAAATATCAAAATTGAAATTTTTTTGAATTTACAATAGGTTATAATATAGTTTCTTAACCTCATGTACTGTATCGAAGTGCAGTCCAGGTACGTCACTGAAAGAACACATGTAAACGCTGGCACATTAGCCTGTGTAACACGGTGTTTGCCAGCAGGGAGTCCCTTGAACATCTAAGAGAGACCTGCGCCTCACAGGGTGCCGTATTACGACTTATTACAGCGTATTGCACCGCCTTTACACGGTACTTACACCGAATCTTAATTTTATATCCCCAGTGGTTCGTATACAGCGCTTCATGCGACAGTATGACTGGGATAGTTCTCTATGGAGAATCGGCAATCTGGAGCTACAAAGTAGGATATGACATTGAAAGAGTACAGATTGACATGTTTATAATTCATCTGGTGTGCCCACTCTTTGATTATTTCATCAGACTAGCTCTCGATATGAACATTTGAATGCGAGTTCTCATATTCGATGATAGATGGCGTGATCGATGGTCAATTTGTTGAAAAATTTCAAATTGCGTTTCGAATTTTATTATGAAGTTGAACTTGACATTCAAGGATGTGTTTTCCTTCTTTCGGGACCTTAAGAGTCTCGTTGATGATGCACGAATTCAAAAATAGCTGATAAGAAGCATCTAGAGACACAGGACGCCAAAGAGACAAGGCGCAACAAATAATCCGTGCAGAAATATCTTGATCTTGACATATCTGTGACATTTATAGCCGTTTGGGCAAATTCCTTCAGGTTAGGAGGGGCAACTTCAGTCATTCTCAAAATAGTAAATTCAGAATTTTGATAGACCAACAATGTCAGATTATATCGCTAGAATAATGATTTCAACTTGAATAATTTTTCTCTCATCTGTCAAATTTGGGAATAAATATTCAAATGTTTTTTCATTGTTACCAACTACTTACTTCATATCTTTCTAATATTTGATGTTTCAATTGATGACTTTCGTTCATCAACAGAGTACAAATGAATGCGAAATAGAAAAAATTGTATATTATACACGTTTTATTAGACATATTGTCGCACAACGCGTGCGACAAAATAGTGTCTCATAAAACTTTTATAATAATATACTATATATGTTCACTTAATGAAAGAATGTAAGTTTCCACGACAATAATTTATGCAATATTAAAACGTTTTGATGATGACTGGTGTGAGAAAGGGGTTTGATTTATGCGAAAACATCCGATTACTGCCGGGTGGTCTCATTGATTCAAATATTTA